GACTGTCTGAGCAGCTTACACACTAACTCACTCAATCTTTACCACAACCATGAGACTTTTTGCAGATGGGGAAACCAAGGTTTGCCTAAGAACACACAGCAGATTGGCACACTCCAAATTTACTCCCAGGGATTCTGAATTTCTGGATCTTTCAAACCCAGCCTGTATCATCACATTGCTACATTTCTTGACATCTGTCGATGTTGCTGATATCTTAGCGTAGACTCCCTGGGATTTATTTGGAGAAATAAGATTAATCTGCTCTGCCTGAGCAAATGTCCTTCCAAACCCCACTGCACATACCTTCATGTCCATAATCCTGTTGGTTCATCTTTCATATGTCAAGTTAAATGTCATTTCAGGGAAACCTCTCCTTGGCTATCCATCCCAGGACAGGCTGCCTAGTCACACACCTTCATGGTGCTATTTATCTCTCTTTCAGGACATCTGTCATAACTTGTAATCATCTATTTGTTGGGGTGAATATTTGCTCTTCCTCCCACTCCCCAAGATGTTAAGCTACAAGAGGCTGAGAAGGTGTCTGTGTATCACAACAGCTCTAGAGCCAGCATGGTGGGTTGGGGACGGGGACGGGACAGGAAATCCTCAGTTTACAGCTTCTCAAACAAGCTCATGACACCTTGGAAATTTACCAAGACTCCTCTAGTCAAGTTTCAATTTCCTGAGTAGGTGGCAAATATTCAGAAATTCTTTTTTTATATACATACACACACACACACACACACACACACACACACACACAGTCATACATCATTGGTGAGGGGGAATACATCATCAGGAAATTCCATTTTGTGACCATCCTAGAGTTCATTCACATGAACTAAGATGGCTACAATGCTACTAAGGCTGTATAATCTTGTAGGACCACTGTCTGTGCGTTGTGCACTCCAGTGTTATTTAGTACATGACTATATACACATACATATACATATACACACACACGTATATTTTGAAACATACATGATTGTCACAATTTTGAAGTCTAAATGCATATAAATGGAATCCTGGTTTTTAAAATTCCAACCACTGCTTTCAGAAGCACCTTGCCAACAGGCTTGTTAAGCTGCCATCCGCACCCTGCTCCCTTTCCGGACACTGAACCAGATAAGCGTCAGGTAGTACCACACAGCCAGTTACTCCAGGTGCTGGCGGAGCTTTCTGACCTAAGCTCACAGCTCCTTCACAGTAACTCCGGCAAAGATCTCCTGTCAGTCCTAGACTGTGTGTAGCCACTGGGAACACTTTCCTATTATTAATAACACTTTCCAATTAGTAATAACACTTTCCTATTATTAATAACACTTTCCTATTATTAATAACACTTTCCTATTATTAATAACACTTTCCTATTATTAATAACGAATGGGAATTGTCCCTCTCACTACAATTATGGGTGGGAGGAAGATTCAAAGAAGAGGCTTGTAGCAATGAGAATACCACACAGAATGTGCAAATGGCCCTCAGACCTGACAATATTGTAAGACAGCAGAAGACCTGGGTGATGTCTCCTAACCTCTGTGCCCCTGGTAGTCACAAAGGCTACAGAAACAGACGACTGTGTGGCATTCTCACTCATGCCTTACCCCACTGTGACACTAAGTCCCCCCAACTCCCCTGCCCGTTCCTCTGTACCTCTGGACTCTCAGAAAATTTTAAGTATATAAGTCCTGCTGACCATTCTGAGATACAAACCTCATAAAATATGTCCCTGATTTTCCTTCTGACACCATGTAATACAGGTGGGGGGGGGGCGGGTATTGGTTGCTTTGTGGCTCTTGAAGCACAACCTGGGTTACACGCTATCCAGGTGGGACCTTGGAAACCATTAACCATTTCCCGCTCCTTCCACACCAGCATGTCATAATCCAGCCTGCATCTGTCTTTCTGGAGGTGTGGGCTATGCCAGGGTGTGATGGGTAAAGAAAATCATCTCACTCTCTGGGGAGACTTGAACTGCTGCCTTGGTGACTGATCCAGAACAGGGACAAAACAAACAGTGAGGTAGGAGTACAGCTATGATGAGCTCAAGGACAGCCCGCCACGACTCTGCCTAGAGCCAGCGGCAACAGGAAAGCCAGAGCCTGTAAACAACCTCGTTCTGGCTTAGCACGGCAAAACTTATTTCTCCTTTCTCTGAAAACACTGACACGAAGTGCACTACACAAATCTACGGCTGCACCTACTTGTTTAGCTCATGGCAGCCCCCTGCAGAGACTGGGAATTCAATGTACCGCCTCTTCGTCCGACAGCAGTGCCAGTTCAACCAGCCTTCCTTTGAATCAAACTAGGCTTCTTCTCAGAACAGCTCACACCGTGGCTCACAGCACACAAAGTCACTGCTTACCCAAGATGACAGCGCCCAGGAAAAGCAACGTACCGCGATCTCGTGCCAGCACCAAGATCTCTTGCCACCCACAACTGAGAGACTTCTGCCGGCACAGTAGGTCAGGCTCAAAGCAAAACAGATGTGTGCATGCCTTCTGAGGTGGCTACGGAAACACAAACAGGAACCTTCTAATCAAAGTTCCCCTTTCAGTCATCCAGCTAACGACCCAATCTGCACTTACATAATTTCATTATTCTTAAATTAAGTTGGGTCAGTTTCACAAACTTTACTCAATGTGTTGTGATGGCCATATTCACCCACCTCACCCTGTCTTATTCCCGTCTCACCACTGCTGATCCCCTTCCTCTCCCCAACTAGTCCTACTCGTGTGTGTGTGTGTGTGTGTGTGTGTGTGTGTGTGTGTGTGTGGTGTGTGCCTGTGTGCATGGATGTGATTACATACAATGGCCATGTCATATCCAGATGCATGGCACTCCTAATCACCTGGCTTTTACTTTCTGCCGTCTCTTCTGTGATGTCCTGGAGCTGTGGAGGGGCTGACACAGAGGTCCCACTTGTGACATTTACATTTGTTCTAAATGTAAATTTACATTTACATTTACATTTGTTCTAAATGGAAAGATTTGCAATTTACAGAAGTGAGCCTCACTTTCCAGGTCCCTGTAGGTGTCACCTCCCCTTCTGGAAAGCAAAATCTCAAATGGGCCAGGTGTAGAAGTGTATAGCCAGAAGGCTCAGGCAGGAGGAGCCAGCCTGGGCTACACAGTGAGCCCCTAGCTAAATGAAACAAAACAACGCAAAAAATCTTGACTGGCATGAAGCATCTGCTGAGAAATCAGCTTTATGTAAATAAAGCACAATTATTATAAGATGAGTAAAAAACATTTGGCTGTGTTTCTGATACAGCAGTTTCACTTAATTTTTTTTTTTTTTTTTTTTTTACCACACAGCTACAGCCCCAATCAGTTACCTTCAGCTGCTTCCAAAGATTCAGTACTCCTGCCCACCATGTAGGTTTCCTCTGACTGTGAGGACTGCCTTCAAATGGGGAGCAAGCTGTTCTCCCACCAAACCCTTTGAGTAGCGTGGCCATCCTCAGGGCTTCCAGGCTGCTTGATGCCTCTCCATTTTAATCACCACTTCAAAGTCAGTATTCTCATAAATACACATTCACCCTTAGCTCTATTGGACTGACCCAAGCCTGGGTATTATGAAATTTTATCCTGTCCTGAAAATTGTCCAGTGTTTCTCACCTCAAGACTACACTGCATGGGGCTCATATAAACATTTCCTCTACAGTCTATTTTATGCCACCAGCAGTTTGCCACTTGGCTCACAAAATTTCTAGAAACACTCCTGCTATATGAGCTGGCTCCAGCACACCACTAGAACTATGCAGGGTCTTGCTGACATACAGCTCAGACAAAAAACAAAAAACAAAACAACAACAACAAAAAACAAACTACAAACCCCCTTTCTTTCAGAAGAGATTTCTCATCTTAATATAGAGATAGACACCAAAAGGTCAGCCAGAAGGTGCAAATAAGTTTATTGACTACAGTGGAGTAAAGATTCCATGAGTCACAATGTCTGTGCACGTAGTCTTACAGCTCATACCTTCCTGGAAACAAAATACTTAATTTAATTTTAAAAGTCAATGAGATACAGAAGTGAAGAATCTAACACTGGAGTGGACTCTTCTGGCAGGAAAGTTTTGAGTTGTGCAATTAAATAAGAGTCTCGGTCCAGTCCATGGATCTTCTAGAGTCCCTCTTCAGAATGAGAGCTCAGTGACAACAGAACATTCTGGTTCAGAGTTTGGCCTCCAGGTTTTCTGTTCCTGCAAAGCACAATTTCACAACAACACATGCAAACATGATTGCGTGTGTGTGTGTGTGTGTGTGTGTATGTGTGTGTGTGTGCGCACTCATATGTGTTCATGTACGAGTTGTGCGCGCGCACACGCACGCGCGTGCACACACACACACACACACACACAGGGTACACAGGCAACTTTCCCTTCTAAAGTCTTAGTGCTGACTTAGGAGCTGCGACAGCTAAGATGTCCTCAAGTGGCCAAAACAGGTCACAGGGAAAACAAAGTACTTTATAAATTCACATTTTTATAATAGCTTTAAGAGCCCACTGCATAAAACTCAGAAGGTGGTGTAACCACAGTGAAAGACTTAAATCTGCTTTCCAAACAATGCTATAATGTCATGTGGTTTGAGCCCACAGAGCAGCAAAAAGGGGGATGGGGAGTATGAGAATGGCACCTTAGAAAATATTAAAACAGTAAGTCAAACAAACAAAAGCCCTGTATCTTACGTCCACTCTTAAAGAAGGAGGGTTCCATAGACTGCCTTATTTTCCTTAGGATCAGAAAGCTACAGCGAACACCTTAGCATAAGGGTGAAGAAGAAAACGGGGAACAGCCCAAGCCTAAGATGTAATCACAAACCCATGGAGCAAATAAAATTACTAAATTATTCCCTTACAATGAAGGACTTTGCTGCTCTGTCAGGCAGAAGAGAAAGGAGCATTTCAAAGCAGGCTACACAACAGTGTGTGTGTGTGTGTGTGTGTGTGTGTGTGTGTGTGTGTGTGTGTGT